CCTGAGTATGCGCTCCCCACCCTTCTAGGGAGGCATCTGTAGATATTTGAGTCTGAGGACTTACGAATGGCACTACCGAGCAGACATTGTTGGGCTTGAGCCACCAGCGTAATGATCTTACTATCATCCTCGGTACCGTGAGCCATTTTACCAGTGAGTCTCTTACAGAGTTGAAAACGGACAGGAACCAATACTGTATTGGCCTGAGTCGCAACCGGGCCCATTAAGTGACAAAGGTGGTTGACGCTAAATGTCCCAAAGCCACCTGGATTTCGTGTGCTCTGACTCGTCTGTGCACAAGACACGCCCAGATGGCCCTCAAAAGCGCTTGAAACCTGTCCAGTGGAAGAGAGGCCATGGCCTTGACTGAGTCCAGGAGGGCCCCAATGAACATGACTTGTCTTGACGGTGTTAAGCATGATTTCTCTGTGTTGACCATAAGGCCCAGAGAGTCCAACAGAGTCAAAGCGAAGTCAAGGTCCCTCCTCAATCTTTGGGGCGATGGTGCCGTAAAAAGCCAGTTGTCGAGATAGGGAAAGACAGTGATCCCCTTTTGTCTGAGATAGGCCACCACCGGTGCCATGCATTTTGTAAACACCCTGGGTGCTGTGGAAAGACCGAAGGATAGGACTCTGTACTGATAGAGGTCTTCCCCGATCGCGAAGGTTAGGAATCTCCTGTGATCTCTTCAGATGCTGATATGGAAATAAGCATCCTTGAGATCCAGAGTTGCGAACCAGTGTCCTTTCTGTAAGAGAGCCAAGATAGGATGCAGAGTTACCATACGGAAACGGCGATAAGACAAACAGGCCTTCAAATGTCTCAAGTCCAAAATAGGCCTAAGGCCCGAGTCTTTTTTAGGCACGGTAAAATATCTCGAGAAAAAACAAAATTGAGTCCGGGAAGGGTCTATGGATTTAATAGCCCCTTAGACAATAATGAGCGCACCTCGTCGAGTAGGGTGTTTGAGGCGCTGGTGGACAGGACAGCTCTGGTGGAAGGGAGCTCCTCGAACTCGAGTGCATAGCTCCTACAAACAATGTCTAGCACCCAAGAATCGGAAGTGACTGAGGCCCAGGTATTAAAGTGGGCCTCAAGCCTGTCCCCAAAGGGAGGTGAGACAGAGTGCACTGCCCCATATCACTGTCTCCTCTTGTCTAAATCAGCGGCTTTCCTGCGGAAATCCTGTCAGTACCGAGGAGGCTGTTGACGTCGGCCCGAGGAAGAAGAAGAATGAGAAGGCCTTCTTTGCCGCTGTTGAGGCTGTTGATGTCCATGGTATTCTTGCTGATATGAGCGCTGTTGGTAAGGTTGGTACCAGTGGGGCTGGCCTTCAAAGTGCCTTCGGGATGGAAGAAAGCCGATGAGGACATTCCATGCTTTCAGGCCGCTGATTTCATACGATACCGAAAGTTCAGCTTTTCGTCCGTCTCCTTATTAAAGAAGCCGGAGTCATCAAACGGCATGTCCTCAATAGCCGTCCTTGCCTGGAAATTCAGGTTGGATGCCCTTAACCTAACATGCCTGCGAAGAGCTACTGAGCCCGATAGTATCTTCGTGGTGCAGTCTGCAGAATGTCTGGCTGACAGGATCTGCTGGCCTTCCAGGGCATGGGCCTCTGCTTGGATGGCCATTGCGAGGGGCCTGTTTTCATCCTGTACGGATGTCAAAAGTGGCTCTAGCCTCTCCATGAGGTGCTAGACATAAGCACCCATGTAAGCTATGTAATTGACGACCTTTAGGTCTAGAACTGTGGCGGCACAGATCTTCTTTGCCATCGCGTCTAATTTTTTGCTCTCCCGGTCCGTAGGTGAGGTGGAGGCCTGAGAGGTGAAGGCAAGTTGTGCCCCTTCAACGATGGCAGAGTTAGGTTTAGGGTGCTCAAACAACCAAGCCGAGACCGATAGAGCAATTCGATAAAGATTCTCCAACTTCCTAGAGGTGGAAGGGACTGTAGCTGGCGTGGCCCAAGATCGTTTAGCAATCTTCTCCAACGAAGAAAGATAGGCTATCGCTGGTGGTGTAGGGACCTTGCCAAGGACCCTCTTTTCTATTACATCCATAGCCTCTTCCTCCGATTTGGCAATCTCAATGCCTAATGCATTGGCCATATGAACAACAAGGTCAGAAAAAAACCTGATGTCATCTGATGATGAAGATGACACCAAGTTGGCCAAATCAACAGGGCTTGCAGGACCCTCTACATCCGATTCCTCGGGTGTAGGAGATTGAGATCGGCGTTTCGAGTCACTCGAAATCAAAGAGGCCATGGTGACTTTGGAAGTGGTCTGTTGGAAGAGCAAAGCATGTCTCGGTGGAGGTGATGGGGGCGTGGGAGAATGTTGGCTGCCACACCGTAGTTGTTCCAGGTCTACGGGGAGGAAATAATGGCCATCCTTGAATCTCAGGTCAGGATACTGAAGGAACAGTTGATCCTGCTGCGTATTTGCAACCTGTGAACCTAGCCGGTTGGCCTCGAGACCAAGAGAGTCCGAAACCAACGGATGGTCCCGTACCAAAGGGTGGGCTATCTCTCATGGACTCCTAGTTAGAGGCTGTTGTAACTGGTAGGGAGTCAAGGCAGGGGGGTTGGTATCAATGATCTCTCCTTCCAATTCCGACTCCACCCGGACCAGAGGTGAAAGAGGCTCAGGTATAGAGGTGTGCTCAACCAATCCAGAGCTGAAAGATGCCGGAGGTGTCTTGGCTAATTTAGAGGGCTTCTCTCGATGAGAAGACTGAGGAGAAATAGATTGGGCCCTCTTGGAAGACGAAGAACGACCAACAGAGCCATTTTCCGGCTCAAGATGCTTGTGTTTGGCTGTCTTTTTACCTTCACCTTCCCCACGATGTTTCTTAGGGGCAGGGTCACCTCCTTCATCTTGGTCTTTATCAGCCCTTGAAGATTTCTTATTTCTAGCCGACTTATCCCTCGGCTTTTTCTTATCCTTGCGGGGTTCACCGCGAGAAGTAGACAGCTGAGGCTCCAATGTTTGAGCTTGGGAAGATGCTGAAGCAGGTCTAAGGGCTTTCTCCCATAGAGCTGCTTTTAACTTTAACTCTCTATTCTTTAGGGCTTGAGCAGTCATCCCCTTACATAGGGGGCAATTTTTAGGGTTATGGGTCTCACCCAAACACCGTACACATTGATCATGCCGATCAGATGTCGGGATCTTCAACTTACAACCGATGCAACGCTTGAAGGAAGCCATTAGCACGAGCCAAATTTAACGATAATCGTAGTCAAAAACAGTCCGGGTCAATCAATTCGTGACAATCACCAGTCCAAAATCCAAGAGAATAGTTAAAAACCAGAACAAGATCAAAAGCCAATAGTCAAACACTGAGTAGACAACATTTGTGAGCTAAGTTCCTTAATAGCTGCAAGAGCGGCAGACGAAAGGAACTGGAGAAAGAGCGGGAACGCCAGGGGATTTATAAGGATGGGCGGAGCTACCGCCAAAAAGTTGCAATTGGAAATTTGCCCAGTGATACCAGAACTTTCCGAGCTAGCTGCGCAGGTGCAGATAAAACCCATTTGTGTGATTCGCAGAGACCACGAAGAAGAAAATAACTTCTCCTCAGAAGTACGATGGGCTTTAGCCAGGCAAGCAGTCATTTAGCAAATTCTCCTCAGCAATAATGGCAACCTTTGCCAAGTGCAGAAGCGAGGGAAGATGCCATTTTATAACTTCTCCTCAGAGATGCAGGGAGGTTTGCTAAGTGCGCCAGTGAGGCGGGCAGCTGTTTAAAAAATTTTTCCTCAGGAGTACAAAGGGGCTTTGCCAAGCATGCCAACAAGGCGAGCTGCCATTAAATTTTTTCCTCAGATGTACGATGGGCCTTGCGAAGTGCGATGGCGAGGCAAGTAGCCGTTTTTAAAAAAATTCCTCAGAAGTTAAATTCACATTTAAATACAGTATTCTCACAGAAATCAAGCACTCCTCTTAAAATATGAAGGACAATGTTAAGACATACCACCAAAACGCAGATTGATCCTATCAAATTAAGAATTTAATGTCTGACAGGAAAATGAATCTCTGAAGAATTGCTCTAGATCAGGGGTAGGCAACCTTTCCCCTTTAAGGGCTGGGGGACTTCAGCTCCCAGAATCCCAGGAGCTATTGGCCAACATGGGACTATTGGCCAACATGGCTGAGGCTTCTGGGAGCTGAAGTCCCTCGGCCCTTAAAGGGGACAGGTTGCCTACCCCTGCTCTAGATGCTAATGCTGCAGCAGATAAAAGGAACTGAGGATTTAGGTGGGAAGACAGCCAATAAGGCAGTAGAGGCTACTGCCAAAATGCTTCTAATAGCTCTAGAAAGTCCTAAATAGCTCTGCGCAGGCACAGAATAACCCATTTGTGAGATTCGCAGAGACAACAAAGAAGAACCTGTATGGCCCACATACAACAACCCCAATTACCTCTGCTTCCCACTGCAGATCCTCTCAAAATTGCAAGAGGAAATGATGCTGTCACTTTGTCACCATTTTGAGAGGGCCAGCAGAGGAAGATGGAGATATTTGGCTGTAGTATGTGGTTCTGGGGTGCTTGTGGGGTTGATAGGGTCATTTTCATGAGTCTCCATTTAGAGACTTTTTAAAAATATGGGGTTGGGGAACTGGGGTGACTGGTGGGAGATTTCAGGAATCACAAAAGTGCATGCAGGGCTAGCTTCTGGTCCATGTCCCACACCTCACCCAGACTGTAGGGAAACTAACCTTGAAAATCTAATATAAGCAATTGCAGTGGTTCCTCAGCCCAGTTTTCTGTCCTGCGATCTTTCAGGCCACCACAGGAATGCCAAAAAATGCAAACAACAATAAAACCAAAAGTGGCTGGAAGTCCACTTCTGGTTCCAGAAAATGTATAGATGTCGGACAGTGCGAAGGGATTTATAACTTCTTTAAAAGCTAAATTGCAACTCTTGACATGTTTGAGAAGAGGCAATCTACCCCTTTTTTGCCAGAAAAACAATGCAGTCTAGAGAGCATGAGAGAGCCAAAGTGGCTTAGTGGGCTCAGAGCTGGACTAAGAATCCATCAAACCAGGATTCAAATCCCTGCTGGTTGACCTTGGAGAAGTCACACTCTCTCAGCCCCATAGTAAGGCAATGGTAAAACCCTTCTCAATTAATTTTGCCAACAAAAACAACTAAAAAGCACATAAGAGAGCATGAAGAATTGTGAGTCTGAAAAAAATCACTGAAAGGCCCAGGACTGCAGTTTGACACTCCTCCCCAAGTCTTGCCACGCAGGACTTTTTAAAAAACCCCAAACAAACCAAACAAGTAACAACAAAATTAAAATTTGCACTAATAGTCACTAGACATGATCCTTCATCACTGGTTGTTGTTATTGTTGTGTGGCTTTAAGTCATTTCTGACTTATGGTGATCCTATCATGGGATTTTTTTGGCAAGATTTGTTCAAAGGGGGATTTGCTCAAAGTCACCCAGTGGATTTCCATGGCCAAGTGGGGATTTGAATCCTGGTTTTCAGAGTCCTAGTCCAAAGCATAAACTACATCACCACACTGGCTTTCACATCACTTGTTACAACAATCATACCATGGTAAGCTACCACCCACCAAACAGTTGTATGAAGAAAACAGAGCAAACTGTTCTCCTTGCTCCAGAGGGCTGGTCTGCTAGACTGCAGCTAAAGAGCAGAAATGGCAAGGAAACTGATTCCTGCTAATTGTGATAAGAAATTTCTGAATGTCAAGAACTGTTCAACAGTGGAACAGACTGTCTTTAGAACTGGCAGTCTCTCCTTTACTGGAGGTATTTAAGGCTGAACATCAGGGATGCTGTAGTTGCAAAATTCCTGGTCCGAACAGGGGCTTGGACTAAATGCCCTTCAATGCAGCTTCTAGTTCTGACATTCTATTATTTTATGATATATAAAGTAAACAAGTGATGTTGGATTTTCAGGTCTTCCAAATCAGGGCCTTTATTTGCTGCTTTTATGTTGATGATGACTTACCTCATTCCTCCCTGGAGAAGAATTCTGTGGAACAATAAGACCTGATTTGGATGATCATATTTCAGCTTAACAAGCTTCAGTACAAACAAACCTTTTAACAATGCAGACAGTTCCTACCTTTCTTCCACAGCATGAGCAATCAAATCAGGAAGTCCCTAGTGAATCAGTTTTCCATTTCATGAAAACTAGGAAACTACAGTTATCAGCTTCAGAAATAATCAGAAGCCTAAACCTTTTAAACTGAATCACATCTTAGATCCTAGCTTGATGTGATGCTGTTAACCATCATTGCACAATTTAATGTAAATGGGAAACTATCATTTTCCATTTTAGAAAAAAGATGGGAAATTATGCTCAAAGATTTTCTGGTTTAATAACTGTTGGATGAAGAAAACAGCAGAGGAGCTATGTGCCTGGGGCAAAAACCTCAATCATATTGTAGTTTATTAAATCACAGTACCACATCAATACAACAGCTTGTCCCTATTTTGTGACAGTATATACATCATTTTGGATTTTATGCCTATCCTCCTTTTTTTGCCCCATGGACAAACAAAAAGCATACAAACAGTAGCCTTGTTTAGCCATGTCTTACTTTTCTGTTGCAGTAGTGGCTGCAGCATTCATAGCGAAGTGCCGGATCGCACTCTCCTCTAAGTACTTTTGCTCCCATTTGGTCATGTCAGCTTCCAGAGCCAAAATCCTCTCCTCCTTCTCCCGCACTAACTCCATTAATGCAGGCACATTAAACTCTGGCAAGGTGGCAGCCTGGTAGTTCCCTTGCCTCTGTAGTGAAACAAATGAAGATTCAGTTTAAAAGGTTAATTCTAAACATAACACAAGAAGAGATCTGCTGGATCAAATAAGAGATCCATTTAATGCAGCATGTAAGTTCTTGGAAACTATGATTTATAGTAACTAGGTTTTGTTTTAAAGCTATGAATTCCACAGACATGAGCAAACAAACCATAGCTTATATTCCCATTTCTGGTTTGTTTTTCTCCTGCCCCTTTAGTCAGCTCTGTTTTCAGAGTGGGCAGTTGGGGTAGGAAGCCACAGACAAGCTATCATTGCAGGTTTAGGTATCACAACAAGCCACAGTTTAAACAAGCCATAGGGCCTGTACAGACTGCCAGAAATAATCCAGTTTGAAGCCACTTTAACTGCCCTGGCTCAGTGGTAGGGAATCACAGGAAGTGTAGTTTATTGTGGCACTAGAGCTCTCTGACAAAGAAGGCTCAATGTCTCAGAAAAAAACTACAATTCCCATGATTCCTTAGCATTGAGCCAGGACAGTTAAAAGTGGTCTCAAGCTGGATTATTTCTGGCAGTCTGAACAGGCCCATAGTTTATAAGTTAACAATAAACCATAGGTTCAGAGTATGGTTTGTAGTTTGTTAGGAATCCATGGCTTGCTAGTAGAGGTGGGTTCATAAATCACAAGGCAAATTTCAACAAAATACACCATGGGTAGTTATAACAAGTAAATGCAGTCATTGCTTTTTTGTGGTTTGTTTCACATCTTGAAGGCATTATTTATTTTAGTACATATATCATACAGCTCCCAAAGGGTGTCACAGGCTAAAGTACAATTCATTGGATATTATTCCCATTTAGCAGGGATATGGGTGTGCACACACAATAGTTTAGAGAGATAAAAAAAGTATCTTAGAACAGGAAGGGTCAATATGAACAAAATATGAAAAATCTATGATAATTCTATTAAAGCTTAATTTTGAGACAAGTTCACTGCAGCTGTAACTGGAGATAACAATAACCTAAGCACTGTTAAATAAACTAACAACTGTAAGACAGCAAAACATTGTGTCTCTTCAGATCTAAACAAATACAATCTATCTACATACACAATTACAGAGTTTGATACCAATTCAGTTGTCACAGTTCCATTCCATGGAATCTTGGAATTTGCTGAGGTACTTATAATGCTGTTAGGTAACTCAAATGCAGGTAAGTGTGATGTAGAGACACTCTTTGTTATTAATTTATCAAAGTCATTTTAAAAAATTGGTACAGCCACAAGGGAGAAATCCCTTTTCTGTGCCCCAGTCTTCACCAGGCAAACACCTACTACAGCAAGTACAGTCCACTGGTTGCTCCTGAGTAGACACAAACAGGATTACACCGTTAATGAGAAATCACTTAAATTGGATGAAGGACTGTGGCCAAAACTGGTCTGGGTGAGTCTGGTGAAGAGCTGGAGCTTGTCTTATTTTGTCAAATGCCGTTACAGGTTGGGTCTCTCTTATCCGAAACGTTTGGGACCAGAAGTCTTTTGGAGTTTGGAATATTTGCATATATATAATAATATCTTATATAATGAGATACCTTGATGTGATCCAAGTCTAAACATGAAACTCATTGATGTTTCATATACACCTTAAAAACATTTGTTATTGTAAACTGCCCTTGAGTCGACCTCGACTCATGGCAATCCCTTGGACGAGACATCTCCAAGATTCCCTGTCCTCAACTGCTGTGCTCAGGCTCTGCAGGCTCAAGCTCGTGGCCTCCCTGATCGAGTCTAATCATATGGCATGTGGTCTTCCTCTTTCTACTGCCCTAAACATAGCCTTAAGTTAATTTTATACATATAACATGTTTAATATTTTTGTGCATGAAACAAAGTTTGTGTACACTGAACCAGCAGAAAGCAAAAGTGTCACTATCTCAGTTGCCCATGTGGACAATTTTGGATTTTGGACTCTTTTAGACTTTGGAATTCCAGATAAGGGATACTTGGCCTGTAACATGCTGAGTACTGGGAAAATGCCTGCATCTGATCTTGTGATTATGGATATGCATATTCTCAAGAGAGAGAAATTCTGAAACAGCTATTTAAATGCTCTTCTATTTATGTTCTGCCAGGTCCTCAGCAGCCTCACTCAGTAAGCCAAAAATACTTTCTTGTGTGCTGCTTTCCCTCCTCGCCTTTTAGGCAGTATGTAACCAGACTTTCTCTTACTTGTGTAACTGGCTGGAACAACACACAGCAGCAAAAGACATCCATGCTTGCCAGATGTGCGTTAAAGCCTCCTCAAAGAGGGTTGTTTTTCTAGGAATCCATTTAATTTGAAAGATGCCTTTGCATGAACACCTGGAATCCTGTCTGTTTGATATGTTATGGAATTCTGTTTATATGTGCCTGCTGAATTGCAGGGCACATGACATTTTGTTTGCTGGAAACAAAGATGGCACTTCCTTTCCATTCCCATGAACAGAAATTGAATGGACTGGAAACTGAATCTTACTTCAATGTTCATGAGAGGAAAATATCTTCCACCACACTTTTGGCCAATGGGTTGGTTTAGGGGCACAGGGTAGGCCATTTAGTGCACAGACTTTTTATCTTTTAACAATCTTGGCCTAAATCTGGTATGGGAAGCAAGCAGAACTCCATATATTGATGGACTGTACCTCTCAGCAGCCAATGATAGTTAATGGTGAGGAATACTGGGAGCGCAATTCAACAACAGCTGAAGATTTATATAATTCACATCAGAGACCTAAATTTCATTTAGTCCCACCTAGAGTAGACCTAATGAATTAATTGCTAAATGATACCATCAGCCCTTCTGTAAATCTCACTGAATCAATGAGTCTACTCTGGTTAGCATTAGTAAATGAATTTAAACTCCTGCTTTCATTCTCTACATCAGGGGTAGGCAACCTTTTTGAGCCGGGGGCCAAGTTGCTGTCCCTCAGACAATTGGGGGGGCCGAAGCACCAAAAATAAATAAATAAATTAATTAAAAATTAAAAATAAAAACAATTTTAAAATATGCATGCACACTCTCTCAGCCCCAGAAAAGCCATGGCAAAACCCCTGTGGAGATTTTGCCAAGAAAACCCCAAGAACAAGTAATAATAACAATAATCAATATCATCATGGTGGGCGGTGGCGGCGGCAGCGGCGGCAGGACCAGCCTGGGGCCGATCCAAAGGCCTCGGGGGGCTGCATCCGGCCCCCGGGCCTTAGGTTGCCTACCCCTGCTCTACACCCTAATTCCTGCTTCCAAGATTATTGTTGTTGCTGTGTTTCCAACTTATGGCAACCCTAAGGAGATC